CAGGTGACCATGCAGTCCCCCCAGAGTCGTAGAGCATAGAATGTTTCCATGCTCCCCCTATCATCTCCATCCCTGAGGTTATCACAGATTAGAAGGCGATTAAAAAAAAAAGGCCCTGTCCTTCTGTCATTGAATTCAGTGGGAACAGCAGCACGTACCATGTGCTATTACAGAAAGGAAAGAATGGTTACTTACCTACCAGTAATTCTTCAATATATTGTCGTGACTATGGATCCTGCTATAGGTGTACATTCATCTCATGCGCATGAGCCGAGACTCTTTTGAATATTAGTGTCTGGCGGGGCCACAGCTTGCCCTATGTCTCCTCATGCTCTTGTGCAAGGACATATAGGGCAGAGCAAGCACAACTCTCCTTCAGTTCTCTCGTGACTTGAAGTTCATGATAGCTGCGGACTCCTAAAGTGGGAACGGAAGATGAGCCACGGAACTCACACTGACAACATCTTGAAGAACCAGTGTGACTGTACAATTAGCAACTGTTTTCTCTTCTTTGAGAATGGGTCAGTTTGGATTCTTCTGTGACTAGCCAGCAGTATCCTTTTCAAGATGGTGGGAAAGAGGAGTATCAGCTGCATCAGTCAATTAGAGATGAGTACCACTTTTCCAAATTGGAGGTCAGGGGAGCATACTCCTCCTGGCTGCTGTGAAGAGCTAGGGAGCTCTATTTCCTTTTTAGGATGGCTGAAAGACTGTCATAACTGATGAGTGAATAGGAGAGGAAAGGGTGAGTGGAAGGGAAAGAGAATATGAATGCGACTAAGCTCTTGAGGAGGAGAAAGGGTATGAAGAGGGAGAGCAGTGAGTGGGAATGAGAAGGGAGGCTGGGCATTTGGCAGTGAGGTAGAGGAGTGGAGTGGGAGTAGAAGGAAGCTGGGGTCAAAAACACCAACAGGGGCCTCTTCCAATATCTTACAGGATGGGAGGAGGGGTAGGTGGAGGGTGGGGTGATGGAGGAAAGTGCTTCTATTCTTCCTTTTCAAAGTGTACACGCAAGAGATGTTCGAGTAAACAGAGAGATGGAGGCTGAATTTCCAGGGGAAAAAAAATCAAGGCTTGGAAGTATACTTCTGTGTCAACTGGGCCAAAAGATTGATTTCACAATTGCAGGATTCACAGCACCTTGGTTTCAATACCAGAAATTAGCTTTCTTAAGCCCTGATGTTATAGGACTGCATATGAAATGTATTGGTATGTTAGATTCCCAGTCTACTAACATAGACTTTGTTGAGTGGACAAGTCCAAACTGATTGTTAGCTCAGTAAATTTTGCAGTGGAAGTAGGTCCAGAGGTAAGCCAATGGAGCTAGGCTGATTTACACCAGGTGAGGAGCTGACCCTTAGACTCCATTTATTTCTTCTGAGGGTTCAAATTAGTTTTTCTGCTACGTGGTTAGGATAGGATCTGCCTCCTCAGTCTGCTCCACAATAAGTGTATTCAGGGCAGCATGTGAATGGCTTTTACAAAGAAGCATCATTAAACACTGTTCTAGTCGACCATAAAGCATAAATATTATTCTGGATATAGGAGGAATTGTTTCCAGCACCATACTATTCAGTAGCTGTATTTGGTATGTCTGTACAGTACTCCTATATGCTACTATTCTGAGTAATGGTTTGCTAACAGATCATACACTTGTGTTACCAACAGACTTCTGTTATAATAAGTAGTGACAGAAGAGAAACATTATTGTTTCTCAGAATCCCCTCTGTTAAATGAAGCACTGAAAAATATTTCAGTTTCTTTGATTTTGGGATAGTCATAGAGTCATTTAACTCGTACATCAGTTCATGTTTTTTTTTTTTTAGGTGATTTGGCTGTCTGAAATCTCTGTGGACAGGCTCTTTAGGTATATTTATGTGGAGTCCTGGAGAATGTCGAGATTAATTTTTTGTGTCAGTAAAAACAGATCTTCGTTGTTGTATGAAAATTTCAGAAATATATTGGGATCGGGGTTTATTTAATTCAAAACAAAACAATGGAAAAAAACAGCTGCTTCTTCCACCAGGTTAGATAGTCCAAATATTAATTATTCTGAAAGGCCAAAAAAAGAATCATCTATTTTTCAAGACAACTCTAAACTTTGGGACTTTTCAGTGGAAAGAAATTTGTAGCCTAACTCTGCCTTTAGATTGCAATACAATAATCTAAAACTAACTACAGGTACCAATACATTTGCATGGCTTTCCTTACTACTGGTAATTACAGTCAAATAACTAATCTTTGGTAAATGTCATTTTAAAAAAATAAACAGTATGTTCTCACCCTATAGGTAGTGTGTAATCTACATAATCTTCTGTCTGAGCAAACTTCTCATTTTGCCAGCCTTTTAGTAAGAGAATTTTGAGTGTCCAAATAATAAGCACTGCATTGACTGCCAGAAACTGGTCATAAACATACTAAATCATCGAAAATGCAATGAGTACATAACTAAAGGGCAGCATTGAACTGTGCTGAATCATTGAGGTATCATAAGTAAACACACAGATGTGTATTAAAATTTCCTTTATTGAAAAAATTGTCATAATCTTGGAACAGAGAGACTTTTTTCTTCAAACGTGAAATAACAGATGTAGTCGTAAAATTTCGCTCTCTGTAGTAATATTTATTAAAATGTGATGCTATTTGACAAAAAATCTGTTGCCTATAAAATTCATTTGGCAAAGTTGCTCAAAAACCAGAGTGCATGGATTTTGAATTACAACTGGAAGTTACATTAGTGCAGAATGAAGATTACCATTCTACGCATAGCATTTTTAAGATTGCTTTACAGAATGTATGTATAGCCTGTTGACCATGCTTTTCCCTAAAACAATATGCAGATATGTTTCACTATCCCTTTCCAGAAACATTAAGTTATAGGGAAGGTAAGGAAAATTATGCGAAGTCTGAACTTTCCTTATTAAATCTTTTTGTTTCCATTGAGTCTAGAAGCTGAAATGGAATGCTGGGAGGTTGACAACAGTGGAACCCAGATAAGACAGTGATGGGTAGAGTGTTTTGGTATTGAAAAAATTGAGGATAGCTGGCCTAGAACAATGCTTCCCTAAGCACAATCAATGCTTCCTTTTATATAACACACAGGCTGCGTTTTCAGGGGAGCTGAATTAAGGCTGCATAGGCATTCTGGCATTTCATAACTTTTGAATACTTGACTTTGCAACCTTTTATAGTGTTGGTGTATTTTTTTTTTTAAAAAACTAGATGTCTGCTCTTCGTGACACTTGGCATTTTCTTTGCAAAGCCACTTATGCCTGTCTTTCTGAATTCACATTTTCATTCAGAAAAAGGTAGTAGGCTATTCAAAGCTAGTGCTTTATTTTCCAGAAATATTGATGTAATGTATAGTGGCAGTCCTTATCTGTGTTAGATTGGGGAAGGTGAGGCAAGAAGTGAAATTAGCAAATACAAAATTCTAAGATTAGTGGAGCTTCCTCATTATTTCAGCTACCTGGAAGCCATGATTGTGTGTGTGCAGAAAAGGCAGTTCTGCAAGTTCTGTGGACATCTGCAGCGAAGAGAGAACATCAGTGATTTAAGGCCTTAAGTTCTCCTTTAGGTGTTTTTAGCCTTTCCTAGTGGCACAAAATGCCTTAACATTTGTTTTTGATTTCTTTTCTTTCAAGAAAAACAGAGATCCAAATTGTGGTCTGGATCAGCAGTGGCTCACTGAGAGCTGTCTGGCATCTCTCTCTGTTAAGTTTTGAAAGGCCCCCTGTAATATATATGAGTGTTTGAGTTATATTGATTGTCCTGAGGACTGAATCCCTCTGTGCACGGAACAGGGCAGAGCAGCAGCCGTGCACATTTTTCCTACACAATGATCTACCTCTTTCCTATGGAAGTAGAGGGCACCACTGCTAGGAGTAAGAGAGGCAGTCCAGTCTCCATGACCATTCTTTTTTCTGTCAGGTAGTGCCAGCCACGGTGGTTGTTTGGAATGGAGATAGCTTTCCACTGTGTAATGGACTGAAATCTCTAGCACCTTCTATATAGGCCTCTGAACAGATCCGTTGTGATGACTTTCATTAACTATTGTCCCACTGTGAATTAAGACAAGTGACAGAGGTGAAAAGCTTGCTGTCCCCTTACTGATCAATTCACTGAGCCATCTGGACCCTAATGAGCAACCGGTACTCCAGCAAATCCCAAGGGAACTAGAATTCTTCAACAACATTATCTAATATTATGGCAAGAATAACTGAATTATTTAGCAGATTTTTTTTTAAATTGGCAGACAATGGTATCAGGGAAAAACAAACACTATTTAATTCCAATGTGCTTGCACACTTAACCTGGCTTTTGAATGAACAGATGTTTTTATTCTATAGCTCATCTTGCTTTAAAAAAAAGTTTAAAATGAATTTTAGGAAAATGCGAACGGACTAGTAATGTTTCTTTTTGCATGTTCTCTTGTCCTACCTTGCATGTGTGATGCTGTTTTATGGACAACATTTTTGTAAAAGTAAAAAACAAAACAAACAAACAAAAACCCTTCCATTTTCTTAAAGGGGGGGAAAAATCCTGAGTCTCTTATTTACATTTTTGACTTTTTAAAAAAAATCTTTTGCATAATTCTATACCTAGTAGTTGGTGATATAAAATAACTGCCTAAAGTAACCAGAATAAATGGTGGAAATCATTTTTTGAATACAAAAAATATGTGGTTCCAGAGGTTTTAACCAAGTTAATTTAAAAAAAAAAATTAACTAGAGAGATACCAAAATCCTAGCTCCTTTGAAATTAATGGCAAAACTCCCTCTGACTTCAGTGAGCACTTTTCAAAATTGAGCCCTTAAATAGAACACTTAAAATGTTGCAACAGTGAGTCAGTTGGTGATTTTTTGAATTGAGAAATGTTTTCATTATTATGCATTTGTGTTTCTGTTCATGTCCTTTTCACTCTCCCCTTGCACACTCATGATGCTGCCAGTTCTCTGAGCAATTTGTTTTTCATAGAGGAATGTAATTTTGTGTTTCAGGGAATAAACATAAAGGTGAATTTCAGCTTTTAGTGGATCAGGTAAATAACCGATGGAAGAAAACTGGTAAAAGGAGAATCAAGAGCTTACAAGAGAGAGAAGTACCCACTGCTGAAGACCAGGCTATGGACACAGGTGAGTAATGTTTAATACATCTGAAAATAAAAATAATTTTTGGGTTTCCCTAAGAAATGATGCATGCACGCATGCCCCAAAGCCACCAATTAAACAACGTCAACTACCCAGTGTTCATGTAGGTCATGATTTAACAAGGTAAATATTTACATGCTTAACCTTAAGCGTATGAGTAGTCCAGTCTCTAGGAACAACATCCAGCATAGATATTCTGTCTTTATGACCTGCAGAGACAAAAAAATACCCATGGGTACTGTTAGTTCTCACACTAGTTTTCAATCTTATTTGTTTTAAGAAATTGCTTGTTGTGGCAATGTGGGTATATCTCTTTGGTCATGTTTTGGGGATGATCTAGGAGGGTACTTCTAAGTCTAAGCCTTGTGGAATTTAAACATGTGGTTGCAATATCTGTCAGTGGGCAGGTTCTATTTAATGACCTCTGCAAATCGTCCAGATTCCTACCATGTTTTTGATGATGCTTGAATCACTGTTCTCATACTGCATCTGAGGAAAGATGATCAGGACTATCTCACTTGGTCTTGACGGGCTTTGTGTCTTAAATTTCGAATCTTCATAATATTTTTGTATTCTTTAAATATTGTTTGAATTGGTTTTTGATTACAACCATGTTTAAAAAAAGCTTTAATTTTGGATACGTCTTCCTTTGGGGAATTGTATTCCGACCTAATAGATCTTTCCCATTTCTAATCCATTAATTTCAATGGAGCTATGCTGATTTATTGACAGTCTAGCTCACTGAATTCTGCAGTACATTCACAACTGATATGATGAATCCTCTTGATATTTCATTCTGAGTCGAGGGAAACGGTGCCTAAAACTAAATGCCTTGAAGCCTTTATCCACACTGTAGCTACAAAAGTATTTGGCATTTTGTCAAGATCAGTTCTGCAGTGATAGGCAAAGTCATGGTTGACAGTCGTTCTTGAATTTTTTTCTTCTAAGCAATCATGGTTTACATCTCCAGTATTTGCAGGACACTTGTTATTGCAAATTACCATAGTAGGGACTAATGCTTATCAGGTTTTGAGCATTGTATCTAAGCATGCTTTTACTATGGGAATAACTACATTGGAAAATGAGTGTAGACAAGGTATAAAAACAATTTAGTTTCTTTATAATATTGTCTAGGGAATAACCGATATCTCTGTCCCTCTGGAATGGCAAAGGGAATCACTTGGGGGTAACAACTGATAAAAACATTTGTCAAATATAAAATAATAGAATTGTTTTAGAATAGTATTTCCTAGACATGCTTCCTTAACTTAAAAAAACCCAAAAAGTCAGTATATTGACATTTCTGTCTTTCTAGAGGCATTGGCAAAGCATCAGCTTAGTTTTATTTACAGCCACCTTATTACCTTGAGCTGTCAAACTTCCATGTTCTAAAACTGTGGCGTGTAATGATATAAAGTGAATTCATACTGAGCACCAGGAAACAGAGCTGCCACATTTTTGAGTATTTGCTAATTTTTAAAATATGGTGATTGGAGACAAGTGCACATACACACCCGTGGCAATTTCTCTCACCCTCGCTTAAAATAGATATTGGACAAATGTTGCTGTTATCTCTGGTTCATGGTGAGTGTTTACTATGATGGGGAAAAACTTAGGCACTTTATTGAAACAGTGATTCTGATAGAAATCTTGCACAGGTAGTCAAAGGAGGGGAGGAAATATGTTTGAAATATGATTTAAAAAAAAAAAGTTTGGCTTTTCCAAGCTAGAGAATAACAAACTGAAAAAGACACAAAAGGGAAACTAAACTATCTGCTAGGTATTAATCTCTGCCTTGTATTATTTCTGCCAGGAGAACAGAATATTAAAAAACAATGCACAGACCAGACCTTTGTAATAGACCAGTTACCTAAAGCCGAAATACCTGGTTCTGACACAAGCAAATCCTATAATTTGGCTGAGGGCTCAGAATCTCTTTCTCCTGCATTCTCAGAGTCATCAGGATCAGCAAGGAGGTTAGTGGCGTACCGATTTATGTCAATCTTTTCTTTCTTATGTATCTCATGATAGCCCTGACAACAAAGGTGGGAAGACTTGTGATAGCATCAAAATGCTGCCTTTCCCTATGTTTTTATTTCAGCTTCTTGGCAATGAGTCCCTTTTTGTACCATTAAGTTGGGGGTCTCAATTAATTACAAGTAATGTAACAAACTTGTGCATTTTCCAATAGTGATATATTTTTGAGAAGAGACTCGGTTGTTTTTTATTGACAATGAATTACTTTGCTAACGTGAAACCAGTTTTGCTGACAAGTCCTTTCCATTGTTTGATGTTTAGTGCTTGTTTAGGATGTTTACTGTCTAACAGTTAATCTGCCATCCATTCCTGTGTCAGAACTGTGTGTCTTTCTGATTAGTTTTTGATGTCTCTATGATCTTCTAGAACTATCTGGGAGTGTGTGTTAAGTAATCATTTATAAACTGCAGTATACTGTCTGGCCAGGTCGTTTTTGTAAGTGAAGACATGCTCTCAAAGGAAATAGTTATATTAGCAATTTAATTGTAACGTATAGCAGACATTTTAAATGTGCCTTTTTATCATACCTTTTATCTGAGTGTCTCAAAGTACCATGCAAACAATAATTTTCCCTCCATGTTAAGTAGGGAAATATCATCTCTCTTTTACAGATAAAGAAACTATAAGGCTCAGAGTTTAAGTGACTTGCCCATGGTTGTTCAAGAACTTGTCTGTGGAAACATTGGCAAAAAATTCAGTTGGCATGGCTTTCAAAGGTGCTATGCGTTCTCAAGCCCTGTTGAGGTCAATGGAAGCTGACAATTAGGCCACACAGCTCCTAACCCTCACAAGACCATGCTGCTTTCCCATATTCCTGCCATCTAGAAATATCGGTGGGGTTTTAATAACGCAACTGTGTATAGACAATAACGGTTTTGAAAAAACTAATCCAGTGATATAAAATATCTGGCACAATGGAGAATTAGCAAGTTTATGTGAATTGTGACTAAAAATAAAACAAAAACCCTCAACACAAACATGGAGAATAAAAGCAAGATTGTTGGTCTTACCCTCTTAAGCAATGAGACATTCAGTCACTTAAGGAACAGTGTAGTTAGGGATATGGAGACAGTAGGTCTTCCAAGGGATGACAAGCAATTTAATGATGGAAAAGAAAATTGAAGTCAAACATTTTAATTCATGCAAGGAGAATTACATTCTTTATCTTACTGTGTAAAAAGGAGAATATGGGAGAGATGCTAGCAATAGAACATGTTTCCCAGAAGAGGAGGAAGAAATATCAGGGGAAATAGAGTTTCTGCCATAAAAGGTGATTAAAAAAAATTGTGCTATTTGTTAAATGACTAGTCAAATGGGATCCATATGAAAAGACACTAGAGCAGTGATACTCAGACCTCAGTGAAAAGAAAAGGAGGACTAGTGGCACCTTAGAGACTAACCAATTTATTTGAGCATGAGCTTTCGTGAGCTGTAGCTGTAGCTCACGGAAGCTTATGCTCAAATAAATTTGTTAGTCTCTAAGGTGCCACAAGTCCTCCTTTTCTTTTTGCGAATACAGACTAACATGGCTGCTACTCTGAAACCTGTCAGACCTCAGTGATTCAGGAGCCAAATTAGTGATCAGCGTTACCCTAAAGAGCCACAGTAGTGTGAATTCATTGTTTCATTTATTATTTTTATAGTAAGCTCAAGCTTGTTTCTCTCACCGACAGAAGTTGGTCCAATAAAAGATATTACCTCACTCTCCTTGTGTCTCTCTCATGTCCTGAGGCAAATACACCTGATAGACAGACATGTTCTAGAACAATAAGAGAATGAACTGTAAATCCCTGAACAGAGCCTGTGAATTGTGAGTCTCCCTTGTGAGTGAAAGTAATTTAAAAGAACTGCTCATTACCTCTGTTTTGCTGTCTCATTACATCTGTATATAATTGTTTTAATTGCATTTTTTTCATATAAAGTGGCCTTCTCTGAAGCTCACCCTAGATGGTTATGAAGTTCTGACTTTATAAGGAACATTCCTATGAACCTGTAGCTTAATATGGTCTAGGAGCACCTTGAAACTGTTTTAAACATATTTTTCTTGATTACTTTATTGAAACAAACCCATTAAGCATTTTCAGAGCTTTTTTAAAATGAATCATGAATACTGGAGACTTGTATTCACAATTAGTGTACCTGGAGATGCTAGTCAGAGTAAAAGGGTCATTTTCATATCTTGCTAAGTATACTGTTACATGTGGCTTTAATTTTTTATCAGCGATACATATGAGACAATGACCGTAATTATATCTTGCTATGAAATAAATCCAACACCACAATCTCAAAAGTCTTTCAACAATGTAACTATGTCATGGGATCTGCAAGAAAGGTGGATCAATGCTCTTTTGCATTTTGGAAGCATGGTTGCACAGGTAATGAGTTCATCTTTAGTGGGTATATGGAATTCTTGGCCTGCAGCATTGACTTTCCGATTAGCAAAACAATTTATACAATAGTTTAGCTGGATCTGCATTGACATTATGCAAACTCATTGAGGGAATACTTTATCTTTCCTTCACCACTGGCTGACTAAAGACAACTGAGATGAATTGAAAGGATTCATTTTTGCCTTCAGATGAGCTGTTGCACATTGCCATGTAGCTTTTAAATTAGCTTTTGTACGTGCATGCACAAGATCGGTAGCCTATTTGCAAGTTATGCAGTGATGCATAGCTAAGGGAGGCTCAAGCTCTGACCTTTCTTTTACATTCTCAAGGAAAGCCTTGCTTTGGGTGAATAATGAGCATGACTTTTAATTGTATCATTTGTCTTTTGTTTCTTCTCCTTGTCATCGGAGGTTTTGTTGCCACTGGCACTGGCTGAGGGGTGGTCCCTTCCATTCCATCTGCCAGTAGGAATGTCTTACTTCTGTGACCTACAAATGATCCGGCTCACCTGTTTTTCCTCTCACCAGCTTTTTCTCTTGCCTTTGCTGGACTCTCTGCAGCTGGAATCAGCCCTGCTTTATTGGCATTTTTTGTGTGTTGTTTTTTTTGGCGTCATCTGTCTCCTTCTTTCCTGAAGCTTTGTGTTTCAAACCTGCAGCCCAGTATAACCCTGGGGACATGACCGAGCTTTAGTTAACAAAGGGTTTCGGGTAAACATGTTTGGCAGCATGAACCACACAGGTTCAGTTTGTGTACAGTTTGCAAATTGGAAGTCTGTTCACAAGGATTGGTGGTGGTTCAACTCTATGAAGTTCATGTTGAGGGTCAGGTTTTACAAGCACACATCTCAAAGGGGGATCCCCTGCCCTGAACATTACTACTACTATAGCTGCCCCAGGACTTCCTCTTGCTGTTTTAGTTCCACAAAGTAGACAGTAGATAGAAGGGAAATCAGACTAATGAATGGAAAAAATAGTGCCTAATTCTCATCTGTATTACTCATTTTATTTTCTTGATTTCATGCTAACTGTTTGGCTTTAATATCCTCAGCAAATCTGGAATTTTAATCTTTTTTAAATGAAAAGGCTTTTTTTGAGAGGCAGGAATAGCATGTAGTGGCTCATTAATTTTCTGTATCATAAAATTTCTGTTTTATTGCAAGTTTAGTGTTAAGATATGCCCTAGGCCTTAGGGCCCTCTCCTGCAGCCTTTTATGTCAATGGGGACTTTACTTCATGTAGGAATTTGAGGATCTTGCCTTCAGCAAAGTTACCTTTCTGTTTACGTTTTACGTGTGCTTTCAGACCTTAATTAGAAACATGGCTGCTTTGTTCTCTTTCATTGCTTAAAAGTGCTGAACATTCAGCAGCAAAAAAAATAAATCTCAGTTCTTCAACTTTATTTAATTAAAGAAAATATTGAAAATAAGGAATTGTAGAATGTGTAGTAGCAAAAACTGTAGAGTTGTTGTGTTTGTCTTTTCTCCATGTGTAGTGGGCTGTTACAGGGGGTCTGTGGTATACATCGGGGTTGTGTTTCTGAAAAGAATGGATACCGGGGAATTTTTCTCCATAAGAAATAATGTCCATCCTGCTTCTTCCTACCCCCCCCCCCCCCCCCACCTCCAAGCACGCCCCATCTTCGCTCCTCCCACTCCGTCCCAGTGTCTCCTGGGCTCCGGGGAAAGCACCCAAAGAAAAGCCATGCGAAAGGGGAAGTGACGGATATGTGGATCGGGACCAACGTGAATCGGAACACTTTCCCCTATTGATGAGCGATGGATACGTGAAACAATGGAGAAGGGGGAGATGTGTACCGGGGACCCTCTATATACAGTATGCTCTTTGGGTGAATTCTGACCATGATATGGTCTAGCTATATCAGGTACCTAAGTCTTTTAAAAAGTGTTGGTCCGCCTGGCAAGCTGAAGTAGTGATTATTATAAGTTCAATTATAAGTCTGTTCTGCCATCTTTCTGCTCTAATTGCATAGGGTCTAGTTTTGTCACCCTTACTCATGCTGAGTAATACCTTACTCCACAAGTAGTCCTTTTCTAGTCATTGCGGCTACCTACAAGATGAAGCACTATTAAAAGTAGCTCATGTTGGTAGACTGGTATGTAGGTAGCCATGCATTGTGAAATATCCAGTAAAATTGCCATCTGTACTTGAAATTTGAATGGAGTAGCTGATCTGACCTGCACACAAATCTGAGCTGGCAAAGTATTGTAGGATTTGTTGGAAGAGGCCTTTACAATTTGATTTGCATATTGGGCAGTATGCCCACTCTGCACCCCCTTGTGTCCCCTGTGACAGTGGCTCTGCCTCTCTTTCTCACTTTGTCCCAACAATAGTTCTGCGACATACCTGCCTTCTCTCAGGGAGGGCCTGTCAGGTAGCAGTGTCTAGTGAAGTCCAAAAAGCATGAAACAAAAAGATCTTCTGCCCATCCTGGTCTGCCCTGCTTCTCTCAGAGTGCTGATCCTGCAGGGCTTCTTCTCTGAAGTCCTTTCCCCCCAGTCTGGTCATCTCCAGGCTGTGTTCCTGGGG